TACTCATAAGTTTTTTTTATTATTTTTCTATCACAAAACTTGTGTTGGTGTTTATTTTTATAGTTTATTATTATTTTCTTAACAACAAAAAAAATACAAACTATAAATTTAGTTCATGCATTTACTTTATATCTAGTAAGAAACAGAAAAAAAATAGTCATACAAGAGCAAGCAGGGGCACTCACTCTTAAAGATAATTAAGCGTACAGCATGTATGAATGAATAAATACGACAAATACAACAATAAGTTGGTTGTAACATGTATGCATGTATGTAGCAAGCAGCAGTTACAATGTGGATTATGGCCGCAGGTGACTTGACTATTAAAAACCATAAAGTCAAAGTAAACTCAAAGTTACATTTCGTTGTTGTGTGTATCTTATCGCTCGCTATTAAAACAGAAAATGTGGGTGTCAATATGCACATATAGAAATTTTAAGAAAAAAAAAATGAAAAACATACATATGCACAAAATGCAAAGTAATAAAATGCACGAGTTATACGAGCTTTTTTTCTTAAGATTTTATAGTTTTTTTTTTTTTAAAGCTGTTTTCTGTGTAAAAAGATTTCTATTTTATATAGAGAGTTATAGATTTTTAAATAAATATTAATAATAATAGGAAAACCAAATAACACACACCTTAAATTTAAATAGGTTAAACTGAAAAGTTCTTTAAGAAAATATATTTAAAACAACAAAATGGTCTCGCAAATTCATTTTTATACAAAAATGTCTCTCGCAAAACCTATTTTCTCAAGTACATGATCTTGCAAAGTGACTTTACTTAAGAAAGTGATCTCGCAAAGATATTTTTCTTAAGAAACAGGTCTCGCAAATATATTTCCCTTAAAACAGGTCTCGCAAAAACACTTTTCTAAAGAAAAGACTCTCGCAAAGTCTATTTTGTGTAGAAAAATGTTGTGTAAAGATCATGCCTCTCTCACTCTTCTTTATAATAAGGTCTCGCAAAGACCATTTTCTAAAGAAATTTGCTGCGCAAAGATATTCTACTTAATAAAAAGGTCTCGCAAATGACATTACCTGAATAAATAATAATCGCAAAGACTATTTTGTACAAAAAAAGGCGATGCAAATTGCAAAATGTATTTCGCAACTTAACTTTTATCAAGAAAAAGTTCTCGCAAAGACACTGTTAGAAAATAGTCTCGGTAAGATAATTTTTCTTTAGAAAATGGTCTCGCAAACCTACTTTTCTTAAGAAAATGGTCTCGCAAATGTACTTTTCTTTAGAAAATGGTCTCGCATATGTACTTTTCTTTAGAAAATGGTCTCGCAAATGTACTTTTCTTAAGAAAATGGTCTTGCAAATGTATTTTTCTGGAGAAAATGGTCTCGCTTAGAAAATAGTCTCGCAAAGATAATTTTATTAGGGAATAGGTATCGTAATGTTTCTTTTCTTAAGAAAATGGTCTCGCAAATGTTCTTTTCTTAAGAAAATGTTCTCGCAAATGTACTTTTCTTTAGAAAATGGTCTCGCAAATGTACTTTTCTTAAGAAAATAGTCTCACAAATGTAATTTTCTTTAGAAAATGGTCTCGCAAATGTACTTTTCTTTAGAAAATTGTCTCGCAAATGTAGTTTTCTTTAGAAAATGGCCTCGCAAATGTATTTTTCTGAAGAAAATGGTCTCGCTTAGAAAATAGTCTCCCAAAGATAACTTCCTTAAAGAAAAGGTATCGCAAAGTTACTTTTCTTAAAAAAATGGTCTCGCAAATGTTCTTTTCTAAATGAAAATGTTCTCGCAAATGTACTTTTCTTAAGAAAATGGTCTCGCAAATGTTCTTTTCTTAAGAAAATGTTCTCGCAAATGTATTTTTCTTAAGAAAATGGTCTCGCAAATGTATTTTTCTTAAGAAAAAGGTCTCGCAAATCAACATTTCTTACGAATTGAGTCTCGCAAAGACACTTTTCTTTAGAAAATGGTCTCGCAAATGTATTTTTCTTAAGAAAATGGCCTCGCAAATGTACTTTTCTTAAGAAAATGGTCTTGCAAATGTACTTTTCATAAGAAAATGCTCTCGCAAATGTATTTTTCTTAAGAAAAATGGCTCGCAAATCAACTTTACTTAAGAATTGAGTCTCACAAAAACACTTTTTTTAGAAGTCAGTATCGCAAAGTCACTTCTCTTAAGAAATGGGTCTTGCAAAGTCTATTTTGTATAAAAAAGTACTGACAAAGACTAAAGAAATGAGTCTTTTCTAAAGAAATTAATCTCGCAAATATCTTTTCAAGCAAAATGTATCTCGCAAATACAATATTTTGAAAAAATATATACTTTAAGAATCCTAGTTTCTGTTTTTTAATAAAAAGGTCTGGCAAAAACTATGATCTCAAGAAAAATATATTGAAAAGCTTATTTCTAAGGAAAAATGTCTCGCAAATTCACTTTTCTTAAGAAATCTAACTCGCAAAATCTGTTTTCTAAACAAAACCGACTAGCAATGACTCTTTTTTAGAGAAAATTGTGACTCAAAGTTACTTTTCATAAAAAGCTTGTTTGGCGAAGGCACTTTTCTTAAGAAAATGGTCTCGCAAAAGCCTTTTTTATATAAAAAATAATAACGCAAAGTACTTAGCAAGACAAATTTACCTAAAGAAACTGTCACGTTAAGACACTTTCCTATAGATATCACTATTGCAAAGCACTTTTATAAAGAAATCTATAGTGTAGTGATTCCTCTATAAAGAAAACTAACTCGCCAACTTACTTTTCTATAGAAAACAATGTCTTAAAATAAAATTTTGTATAACAAATTCCCTTTTAAACAACTTTCCTATCTTTTTTCAATAATTTTATGTCAGCCCTCGTAAATAGTTATTTAAAAATCTCAATAACTTTAATCATTACCTCATATGAATATATTCCTTTCTATTTTTAAACATGAACATAATTTTATTAATATATACAACTTAAATCTTTAGCTCGTGTTTAAAAATAATTCTTTATTTTTAAAACAAATCTAAAATAAAAACATAACAAATCTATCCCGTGACAAACACCACACTTATAGAAAAAAAAAACAAAACACATGTTTTGCTTAATGTCTCATATTTCCTTTAATGTTTCTCTGCTCCTTCCTTTTTGTGTTTCATTTTTTTAATTTCATTCATATTTTATTGTGAAAAAAAGAATCCTTTATAAACTTAGTTAAACTGACTGTCAAACGTTTTGAAAATAATGAAGTGACATTTAAACTAAAACAGCTGGCAGCTCTATTAAAAAAGGAGCAACAACAACCGTAGCTGGCAAAAACATCAATACAATGTTTATAACAGGAAGTACAAAAAAAAGAAGCAAAATAAACAAATCTATAAAAAATAAAAAGCAAAAACGTTAATACAGGCAAATGACAAGAGCAATACAACAAAAACACTCTACTCACACAGATTTGACAATAAAACCTTTCGTAAAAAACCCTAGACAGTCTGTCATAAACACAGCAAATTTAGCACAGTAGTGCAAAAAAATATAAACAAATCTTATTGGAAATGACAGAGGATTTGTTACTATACTTATTCGAATATAAATAGAACAAATTTTTAACTACAATTTAAATATTTATTTAAAATATTAATAATATTATTTATTTAAAAAAAGATAATATTTATAAAATTAAGATAATTTTTTTAAGAGACCGACAGATATTTTAATAAATGTTGATTTATGTTGTGAAAATGATAATTCTTATCACATGGTTTCAATTCCTAAATAAATAAGGATTATTTATAGTTGTGGCGAGTAACAACATATTGAAGATAAAAAACAAACAATTTTCGAAAGTGACAAAAAGGAAAACCTTCTTGACAAGAGTTTCTCTAAAGAAAACTTTTCTTGGAAGAAATTTTTCTAAGAAAATTGCCTTCACAATAATAATTTCTGAAGAAAACTGTATTGACAAAAACTTTTCTAAAGAAAGATGTCTTGATAAAAACTTTACTAACGAAAAATGTATTGACATGTAACTTTTTTAAAGAACACTGTCTTGACCAGAGATTTTTTTTAAAGAAAACTGATTTTTGTTTAAGAAAGCTGTCTTGTCAAGATATTTTCTTAAGAAAACTGTCTTGACAAGTAACTTTTTTAAAGAAAACTTTCTTGGCAAAATCTTTTTTGTAAGAAATCTGTGTTGACAAGATCTTTTCTTATGAAAACAGTTGTGACAGGAAACCTTTCTAAAGAAAATCTTCTTGACAAGAGTTTTTCTAGAGAAAGCTGCCCTTGAAAGAAAATTTTCTTACGAAAACTGTCATAGCAAGAACTTTTCTAAAGAAAAATGTCTTGACAAGTAACTTTTATAAAGAAAACCTTATTGACAAGAGCTTTTTGGTAAGAAAACTGTCTTGACAAGATCTTTTCTTAAGAAAACAGTTGTGACAAGAAACCTTTCTAAAGAAAACCTACTAGACAAGAGTTTTTCTAAAGAAAACTGCCCTTGCAAGAAAATCTTCATAAAAAACTGTCATAACAAGAACTTTTCTTGAGAAAACTATCCTAAAAAAAACATCTTGACAAGTAAATTTTTAAAGAAAACTGTCCTGAGAAGACTCTTTTGTAAGAAAACTTTCTTTTCTTACGAAAACTGTCATAACAAGAACTTTTCATAAGAAAACTGTATTGACAAGTAATTTTTTTAAAGAAAACTGTCCTGACAAGATATTTTCTTAAGAAAACAGTTGTGACAAAAAACCTTTCTAAAGATAACCTTCTTGACAAGAGTTTTTCTCGAGAAATCAGCCCTTGCAAGAAAATCTTCTTAAGAAAACTGTCATAACAAAAAAATTTTCTTAAGAAAACTGTCTTGACAAGAACTTTTCTAAAGAAAATTGTAACTTTCCTAAAGTAAAAAGTCTTGGGAGGAATTTTTTTGTTGAAATATAATATTTTGGTAAAAATTTCAAATTTTAATAAAATTTTAAATAATTATTCAAAATATTAACTTAATTTTAGTTATAAATTTAAGTAATTTTTCTATTTACCTGTTTTTTCCACAAGAAATTTTGTGCGTTTTATTCCGTTGCTGGCACCACTGTTTCATTCACAACAATTAGAGTTGCCAAATTGTACATTTATTTTTTTATGACACTTTCACACTATTTTTGATTAAATTTTATTCGTTTTTTATTAGCAGGCAATTTCATTTATGTGAGTTTTATTTTTCCACATATTTTTAAATAAATATAACTACAAAAAAGTTGTTTTTTAAATCATAAAAAAATATAGATTTTTATTTTATAACAAATTAATTGTTGACAATTTTTCAACAATTGTCTAGTAATGTCAAAACAAAATTTTTAATTGTTTTTTAATAATAATTCTGTAATAAACTTGTTACTCACAACTTAAAACAACAAGAATAATAAAAATATACAAGATAAAGATTAAATTTTGCTATTAAAAAGAACATAAGAAGAAGACACGCACAAAACAACAAGAACAACTACAAAATCTAATAAATTTAATCTTGTATTAAGAAATCAAATGTCAAACAAACACTTCAACATACATACATACGAACAGAGATTACATTAATAAAATTTAATGTATAGAAGAAAATAAAACAAAAAAAAAGTAATAATGTTAAACAAAATATAATTAAAGTACAGAAATAATAAAACAAAAAAAAAAACGGCTTTAACATTGGAATAATTAAATGAATGAATGCTGGGTTGTGTATTTACGAAAAACAATCAGGGATTTAATGATGCTAATTGAGTGATTTTTTTCCAGCAAATGGAGCGTTTTATTGTAAGAAAATCGCGAGTTCTTAATTAAAGGTAATTCTTTAAGAAAAATTTCATTATTATTCATCATTATAACAAATTTCTGTAGAAAAATTGATTCTCTTTACAGATGCGTTAGAAAGTTACCTTCTTAAGACAGTCTTCTTTAGAAAAGTTTATTGTCAAAGCAGCTTTCTTTAGATAAAAGCCTAGTCAAGACAGTTGTCTGTAGTTTTCTTTTGAAAAGTTTCTTATAAAGCAAGTTTTCTTTTGAAAACTGCCTTGTGAAGTCATTTTTTTAGTTTTCTTTAGAAAAATGCCTTGTAAAGACAATTTTCTTTAGAAAAGTGTCTTATACTGACAGTTTTCTTTGGAAAAGTGTCTTGTACAGCGAGTTCTTTCTAGAAAAGTATCTTATATTGTCAGTTTTCTTTAGAAAATTATCTTTAGAAAAAGCTCTTATAATATAGCTTTGTTAAGAATCAAGACAAATTTCTTTAGAAAAGTTTCATGTCAAGAAAGACAGTGTCTTGTCAGGACTATTTTCTTTTGAAAGTTTTTTGTTAAAACAGTTTTCTTAAGGAAAGTGTCTTATACATACAGTTTTCTTTAGAAAAGTGTCTTGTACAGAAAGATTTCTTAGAAATGTGTATTGTACAGAAATTTTTCTTTAAAAAAGTGTCTTGTACAAACAGGTTTCTTTAGAATAGTGTCTTGCACAAACAGTTTTTTTAGAGAAGTTTCTTGCATAGAAAGTTTTCTTTACAGAAGTGTCTTGCATAGAAAGTTTTTTAGAAAAGTGTCTTTTACAGACAGTTTTCTTTAGAAAAGTATCTTGTAAAAACAGGTTTCTTTAGAAAATAGTATTGCACAGACCATTTTCTTTAGAGAAGTGTCTTGCAGAGAAATTTTTCTTTAGAAAAGTGTCTTGTACAGACAGTCTTCTTTAGAAAAGTATCTTGTGATACTTAGAAAAGTATCTTCTACAGACAGTTTTCTTTTCTAAAGACAACTGTCTTGCACAAACAGTTTTCTTTAGAAAAGTGTCTTTCATATACAGTTTTCTTTAGAAAAGTGTCTTCTACAGTCAGTTTTCTTTAGAAAAGTGTCCTGTACAGACATTTTCTTTAGAAAAGTATCTTGTACAGACAGTTTTCTTATAGAAAATGTATTTGGCAGACAGTTTTCTTTAGAAAAGTTTCTGTGAAGAAAGTTTTTTTTAAAAAAGTCTTTTGTTTCTTTAGAAAAGTTTTTTTTTAGAAGTTTTTGGCCAATACAGTTTTCTTAAGAAAAGTTCATGTCACGACAGTTTTGTTTAGAAAAGTTTCTTCACAAGAACGTACCTATTCTTTAAAAAAATTTGTTGTGCAAAGGTTTTTAAAGAATATTTCTTATCAAGAGACTTTTTTGGAACTGTTTTCTTTAATAAATTCTTCCTTGTTAAGAACATTTTTATAGAAAATATTTTTAAGGCAGTTTTTTAGAAAATATAGGTATTCTGATCATTATTTTAAATATTTACTGTTTCTACTAATTTCCAAAACTTTGCATATAATCCTTTCTTTTTTAACGCTTTTAATACAGCGTTTTGCAGTAATTTATTCCATATAGAAAGTTGGCAACATTGCAATTAAATCCACACACATTCACATAAAAAAATAGGAAAAATACACTCATAAAATACAAGGAATAAAGTAATAAAAACAAAATAATGAAAAAAAAGACACATAAAATTTTAATTTCAGCCCCGATTTTTGTTGTTTCAATTCACATTTTCTTTATAAAAATCACAAAGATTAATTAACGTTTCACATTACATACGTCTGCCTGTGTTTGTAGTGTATGTAGGTTTCTTTTATTTTTCTTGTTTTTCCTTTAAACATTCATTCCAATTTAATCACTTGTTTTTATGGCAAATTTCTTATGATTTTGAATTTCTTCCGTTTTTTTTTTTTTTATTAATATTCATGTAAAAAACACTTTTCCAAAAGGGATAATTATGTATATTTCATTTTAGTTTTTCACATTTTCTTGTTATTTATTTGTTGTTGTCAGGTGTCACTTAATGATTTTCTATTTTAATATTTTACCTTTTTGTGTTATTTTACAGAAATTTTATTATTTTTTTTTTTAATAAAGCGTGCCCTTTTTTGTATTTATTCATTAATATTCTATGAATTGTAGTTGTTTTTGTCTAATAAATATTTACACTTTTTTTCTTAGCTAATTCATCAATAATAGTAATTTGATTTTTACACATAATTCAGTTATAAACGTAGGCGTACATAATTTTTTTTATCTGCTTTTATTATTTTTAAAAACACTTATAAAAACCAAAGTAACATTTTTGTAAAATCCAAAAAGAAACGAAGAAATATCTCTATAAAAACACGTCTCACTAAACGAAAATCTACTGAAAAACTGGTTTTATTATCTCTTTTGGGTTGATTTTCTTTATTGGTTTTTTAGTACTGCTGCTTCATGTTGTTGTTGTTGTTGCTAGTTTTAGAACAAGGTTTAGAAAAAAGGTTTATTTTGGGATAAACACATATGGCAAGGCTTACAGAAAAAAACAACTCTGTTGTAATGCAAGTGACAAGCAAATAGAGATGCCAGATGTTATACCTCGCGGAAAAGAGACTAAAATAAATTTTATGCAATGTTTTGGTATTACTTCAATTGTCTTGTTTTTTATGAAAATATTTGAGTTTTTTGTGGAAACTTTTTAAAATTAACAATTATTTTTATATAAATTTGTCACTATATTAGCGTTTTATAGATCGTTCTATAGATTGGTTGGAAAAATTCCAACTCGAGGAGTTTATCCTGATAAAATGGATAAATCAAAAATAAAACTTAATTACGTGAAACTTTTTAAGGAATATCTTTCTTGAGAAAAAATTAAAAAAAATAGTTTAAAAAATTTGAAAATTATATTTTAAAACAATACATATTTCTTCTTCATAAAGTAAACGTTAACAAAATAGCAAAAAGTCGTTAAGTAGACTTTTTGCTAACACTATAGAACTCTAGGCCTCACGTCAAACTGACTAATCAAACTGCCATTTTGTTTACTTACTATCAAACACACACCAATGGGTTGATGTGAATTTGATGAAAATTAAAACAAAAAAAAAATTGAACTCAGTTTGATAAATGTACGCGTAATAAACAGAAATAAAAAAAAATGAAAAATAAAAAATTCATACTAGAATTTATTGAAGTTTATCGTAGTTTACCCGCTTTATGGCAAATTAAGTCCAAAGAATATTACAATAAAAAAGAAAAAGATCTTCAGTACAAGATTCTGCTTAAAAAATATCGCGAACTAGAACCAAAAGCAGAGAAAAAAGATGTTGCGATGAAAATTAACTCCTTAAGAACTGCCTACCGTAAGGAATTAAAACGCATTGAAAAATTAGAGGAATTAGGGACGTCTGATAATGGCCAAACGGAATCAAATTTGTTCTTTTTCGAAGCATTAGATTTTATTCGTGAGAGTTTAAAGCCAAATGCATCGCAAACCATAGCAGGAGATGGTGACGAAAATGAAGTAGAGGTAAGACATATTTAAGAAGTATATTTTTGTGGTGGATTTGTTTACATCTTTAATAGAAATGGATGTTTTACTAGTTGTAACCTATTCCGGAAATAGACCAGACTATAGACTAGAATATAGACCAGACTATTGAGGACACTATAGACCATTGAATAGACGATTGATTAGACAATAGAATACGCTATAGTCTTGGCTAAAGACTGGAGTATAGAGAATAGACCGGACTATATACTAGACAATTGACATCACTATAAGCTAAACTATAGATTGGACTATACACTAGACCATAGAGCAGATTATATTCTAAATTGTAGATTCTACTATACACTAGACTATAGACTAGATTATGGACTAGACTATAAATATGAACATAGACTTGACTATAGCCTAGAATAGAGACTAGACTATAAGCCACAATGTAGACCAAAGATTAGACTATCGACTAGACTTTAGACTACACTATAGTCTAGACTATAGACTAGATTACAGACTAAACTGTAGATTAGACTATAAACTAGACTATACTATACTATAGACTAGACTATAGACCATAGATTAGAATTAGATTTGACTATAGACTACACTATAGTCTAGATTATAGACTCGACTTTAGACTAGACTATAGATTAGATTGTAGACGACATTATATACTATACCATAGATTAGATTAGACTAAAGACAAGATAATAGACTCGACTTTAGACTAGATTTTAGACGACATTATCCAAATATATACACATCTAGTCGATCAATTTACAATTTGCCACAAGTCTTGTCCTTCATTATTAAAATAACTGCAAAATTGGTCCCTCACTAACTGAGCAGCGCTTGTAGCATTTTTACAATGTGTTCTTTGCAATGGCGTCGATAGGTGATAGTTCACTGATTCTACAGAAATACATTTCCGCTTCATCTTTCTGATCCAAAAATTATGTAAATAACAACAAGTTAAAACAATAGTTTGAGCTTTTTCCGGCGAAAGACCAATTGTTCTTTGTAAAACTTTAAATCGGGAAAGTAATATGTTAAAAGCACTTTCCGCAATACGTTGGGCACAGCTCAAGCGATAATTGTAAATACTTTCTTCATCGCTTAGATACGATTGAGAAAATGGTGTCAATATATTGTTTGTCAGCTGAAAACCACTATCTCCCACAAACACATAAGGCATTTCCTGTTCGCTTGATGGCAAAACGCCTGACTTTGGTAGATTTAATGCGCCTTCCGTTAATGTCCTTACAAATGTTGTATTGTCATAACCATCGCATACTCCACCATTTGTGTCAACATCCACCATAATGAATTCGTAATTTGCATCTACTATTGCCATTAGGACCAGGCTAAAGAATTTTCTATAGTTATAATATAAGGCACCAGATTTAGATGGTTTTCTTATAGGAATGTGCTTTCCATTTATTATACCTAAACAATTGGGAAAATTTGAATTGTGATAGATGTTTGCTGCAAGTTTTTTCCACTCATCTTCGTTGGAGGGTAGCTGTTAAGAAAAAGATGAAAATTCGCTTAAAATAGTACAAAATTTTTATCTTTTTCGGATTTTAAAAAGGCTATGGACTTGTTTATAGAGTGGCATTTGACTTGTGAAGACAGTTTTCTTTAGAAAATGTCTTGCCTGGAAAGTTTTCTTTAGAAAGTTATTATTAGAAAAATGTGTTGCGATGTTAGGTTTTTTAGAATTATCTTGTGAAGATACATAGTTCCCCTTAGAAAAGTGTTTTATAAAGATATTTTTCTTTATTAAAGTTTCTTATAATAGCTAAAATGTCATTCCAACTCTTTTTCTTTTTTTGCAGAATAACGCGAAACGAAAGAAACGTAAAAAGCCAGATCCGGCTGAAGAATTAATGATTTTGGCAGCGAAACGTCTCAGTCAACCACCAGACGAATGTGACAAAATTATCGAAAGTTGGGCTGTTAAATTTAAAAATATGAGCCCGACTCAAAGACTTTATGCCGATAAGTTCATAAATGAAATTCTTTTCGAAGGTCAACTGGGAATGTTGCATAGAAATTCGATGATGTTAAATGTTTTAGACAATTGTGAAGAGAAGCATATAATTTAATATGCATACATGCATATAATAAGGAAAAAAGTTTATTTTAAGTTTTATTAAATAAACGTTCAGTTTACCTTTATATAATTTGCTAGTGTAATGTTTATTTCATTGCATGTTTCCAAAACAATCCGCCCTATAGCACGTTCCGATATATAGCTAATGCCTCTTAAATCCGCAAATGATTTGCCTGTAGCCAGATAATATAAAGTTATAGTTAAACGTTGAGCCGGCGAGATGGCCTCACGCATTTGTGTATCTTGTTTTTGTATTTTAGGTCCAACTAAAGTTAAAATTTCCTCAAAGGAATCTTCATCTATGGTAAAATCACTTGTCGTGCCCAATTTAAGTTCATGGAGGAGTTTTTCATGCGTAAACTGATTTCTTTTCCTAAAGCACTCGTTCATCCAAAGACGCTTTCTTTTATTCTGCTGCTTTTGTTTAATGGCTTGAGCTAGAGCAATAGCTATGCAATACTCTTCAGTACGGTTCATATTTTAAAGGATAAGTATAGTTTTTTTGTGAAATAAACAATAATTTGAGTAATAATTAAATATTAAACGTTTGTAATACATTTGTTTTTGTTTGTAAACAAACATTTTTAAATGAATTTTGATGTGTCAGTTTGAAGTGTTGCCATATTGTCCAGTTGCTCTTTAGACAATAAGACTAGGACACTTTTTTCTTAAAAGAAAAGTCGACTTTACAAGGCACTTAAAAACACTAATAATTATTTAAATAAATACCTAAATTTTTGTGCATTTTTTTTAAAGAAAATAATTTTTCTTTTTTCCAACGTTTTTTAGTACCACTACTATAATGAAAAAATCACTACATTGCATTTAAGAGTTGCCACTCATATTACACTGCACAACTCCACTTTACTGCACAGCGAATGCAACACTGTTTAGACGATGTGATTTTTTTTGTAGTAAATGACCAGAGCCCTGTGCTGACAAACAATAACGGCGGTTTTCGGCTGTGTTTTAAAATTTGTCATCGATATTAAAACTGTTTATTATGATTTTGGAAAATATTTTAAATTGAGATTTTCAATTTTATTTCTTTTAAAAGGTCCTTTTTAAGATTTTTCCGAATTTTTTCATGTTTCACGCAAAAGAATGATATGAAAACTGTTATGAAAGCTTCGCTTGGGCATGTGTGTGGATTTACTGAGTAGCTCTAAATAGGGTTCTATAAATCGACTTTCGAATAATCGAACAATAGACTTTTTGTCGAAAAAAGTCGAAAAGTCGAAGTCGACTATTTTGTTCCAAAAAAGTCGATAACTCGACTATCGTCTGTGAAAAAAATCGAAAAGTCGACTTTGTGAATAAAGGTCGAAAAGTCTGAAAGTCGAAAAAAGTCGATAAGTCGAAAAAAGTCGATAAGTCGAAAAAAGTCGAATAAAGTCGAAAAAAGTCGAAAAAAGTCGTAAAAAGTCGAAAAGTCGAAAAAAGTCGGAAAAAGTCAAAAAATCGAAAATTGTAGAAACAAGTCAAAAATAGTCAAAAATTTTAAAAAAGTGGATAAAAAAGTCGGAAAAACTCGAAAAAAGTAAAAAAATAGTCGGAAAAAAGTAGAAAGTCAAAAAAATTGTCAAAAAGTCGACAAGTCGAAAAAAGTCGGAAAAAGTCGAAAAAAGTCGAAAAGTCGAAAAAAGTCGACTATTTATAAAATACTTATAGTCGAAAAGTCGACTTTTATTTAAATGAAAAAAGTCGAAAAGTCGAAAAATCGACTTTTCATAAAATGCAAAAAGTCGAAAAGTCGACTTTTCGTTTCAATTATAGAACCCTAGCTTTAAATCTCTTTGCAGGGGTGGTCCACCGGAACCCCTATCACATATCTGCTTCGCACAATAAAAGCAAACAAAAACAAAACAAAAGAACACTATAACAAACTACAAATGTACGATTATTAAAACACCCTACAGTACACCAACTTGAAGCACTAATAACATGGGGCAGATGTGATAACCAGACACGTCCATGACCTAGTCCAAACTTACATATGTCATATTAAATTTGTATGCCCCTTTTCCCGATAAGATTTTACAAACAACTTTTTTGCTCAAAAGAAAGTTAAGAGTTTTTTGGACAAGGTGTTTATTATGTCCTACTGTGCATAATGAAGAACATTCAGTTTTCTGCGAAATCGAAACAAAAAATTAGAAAGTGTTTAGGAAATTATACAAAATATGGAGAAAGATTTCAAGCCGTCTAAAGCTGAAAAGTTTTTTGCGACGGCGGCGGTTTTAAAATTTCTTCGACGGCTAGCCATAGAAGGTTTTAAGCCGAACCGACGCAGGTCTCTGTAGGTGACACATAAAAAATTGCGTTGATTTCCCTCAAAAAAAAGAACAAAAATTATTTTAAAGAAATCTACCTACAATTTTTTAATATTTTTCGTTGTTTTTATTTAAAATTTTATAGAAAAAATATTTTAGTATTAATCAGTATTGTTTAAAATTTATAAAAAACACAAATTGTATGTTTACAACAAAAAGGAAAAGTTGAAATGCCAAGAAAACAGTCTGGAGAAACTTTTCCTTGTTAATAAGAAAAAAAAAAAAAAAAAACGAAAGAAAAAATTCTCACTCACGTACAGACGACAATTTATGCAAAAAAAATTGTTGCATGTTGATGTGGAAAAACTACAAAAGTAAAGAAAAAAAAAGAATAGTGGAAAAAGTAAAGGAAACCGTAGTTGTTTGTGAAAGATTAAAGACAAAAAAAGAGAAAATAAAATAGTTAAATAAGTAAAATAATGTAAGTTTAAAGTTGGTGATGATTAAATAATTTAAAAATTTTGTTGTTAAATTTGTAGCTGAATGTGTTATTTTTAGTTGTAAATTGTTAAATGATAAATTAATTTTGTGCTAATAATATTGTGAGTAATTATTTAGTTGGTAAAAATGTTCATTTTATTTAGTCGTTGTTGGAATTTTGACAACCACTTGTTGAGTTTTCTTTTAAAAATTTTCTTTGTTTACGTTTGTTTGTTGGAAAAAAAAGGGAGGATGCTGTTTTTTGTAACCTAAAATATATAGAGTTGCCAGATTGTTATTTTTTGCCAATAAGCCGAACAATGTACCACCGAATAGTTCGGTTTAGAAAAAGTATTTTGTAGAACAAATCTAATTGGAAAGTTTTCTTAAGAAGTGTCATGTCTGGACAGTTTTCATTAGGAACGCTTCCCGTAAAGCCAGTTTACTATAGAAAAGTTTCTTGTCAAGACAGTTTTCTTTAGAAATGTTTGGTACAGACAGATTTATTTAGAAAAATGTTTTCAAAAAACGTTTTTCTTTAGAAAAGTGTCTTGTCTAGGAAGTGTTAGAGAAAAGTGTCTTGTCAATACAGAAATTTTTCTTTAGAAAATTCTTTTTGTCTTACCCGGCCAGTTTCCTTTAGAAAAGTGTCTTGTTCATACAGTTTTCTGAAAAATTTCTTGTCTGAACATTTTTCTTAATAAAACTTTACAATCTTATTCCTAAATTATTTGTAATTTGTTTTTAATTTATAAAATTTTCTTTAAAATCTAGTTTCTTATAAATTTTCTTAAATTTATTTTTTATTTACAGTTCTTTAACTTAAGTTTTAAAAAGTGCATGTTTCAAAATAAAAAAATAAAACTTTAGTTTAATTTTCAACGTTTATAATTTTCCATTTAAATTTATTAACAATATTATAACAAGCAAAATACCGTTAAATAAACTTTCATAATTTAAACATATAATAAACCAATGCAGAAAATGCCCTCACAAATTCTACCAGATGGCGATGGTGCTGGTAATGAAATTAAAGTTAAAACTGCCTATAGTGGTGAGGTAATGATCAGTTATATTAAGGAGAACATAACCTATGAAGAATTGTGCTATGAAATACGTAAAAATTGTCGTTTTTCATTGGATCAAGTGAGTTTGTATTTCATTTGTTATTGAAATTCTAATAAAAATTCTTATTATAATATTGTTTTCTTCTTTTTAAGCCTTTCACCATTAAATGGGTGGACGAGGAACATGATCCCTGTACAATATCAACACAAATGGAATTGGATGAAGCCATACGTTTATATGAAATGAATCATAATCCGGAGTTGTTAATACATGGTAAGTGGGAAAGGTTTTAATGTTGTTAGTTTATTTGAAATTCAAAAAAGGAAGAAAAAAAGAAAGAGAAAACGAGTTTTAGTATTAAGTTAGAAAAATAAACCTTAAAAGTTAAATTTTTACCTAGCAAATAGAAATTTAAGTTTTATAAGTCTTCCAATAAACATTTTCTATAAGAAATATCCTCAAAAGAGATCATTCTTCGAACTGAACTAGAAGTGAACTAGAACTGAACTAGAACTGAAACTAGAACTGAACTAAAACTGAACTAAAAACTGAACTAAAACTGAACGAAACTAGAAATAGAACTGAACTAGAACTAACTAAACTGAACTAGAACTGAACTAGAAACTGAACTAGAACTGAACTAGGAACTGAACTAAACGAACTAGAAACTGAACTAGAACTGAACTAATGAACTAGAAACTAGAACTGAACTAGAACTGACTAGAACTGAACTAGAACTGAACTAGAACTGAACTAGAACTGAACTAGAACTGAACTAGAACTGAACTAGAACTGAACTAGAACTGAACTAGAACTGAACTAGAACTGAACTAGAACTGAACTAGAACTGAACTAGAACTGAACTAGAACTAGAACTGAACTAGAACTGAACTAGAACTGAACTAGAACTGAACTAGAACTGAACTAGAACTGAACTAGAACTGAACTAGAACTGAACTAGAACTGAACTAGAACTGAACTAGAACTGAACTAGAACTGAACTAGAACTGAACTAGAACTGAACTAGAACTGAACTAGAACTGAACTAGAACTGAACTAGAAACTGAACTAGAACTGAACTAGAACTGAACTAGAAACTGACTAGAACTGAACTAGAACTGAACTAGAACTGAACTAGAACTGAACTAGAACTGAACTAGAACTGAACTAGAACTGAACTAGAACTGAACTAGAACTGAACTAGAACTGACTAGAACTGAACTAGAACTGAACTAGAACTGAACTAGAACTGAACTAGAACTGAACTAGAACTGAACTAGAACTGAACTAGAACTGAACTAGAACTGAACTAGAACTGAACTAGAACTGAACTAGAACTGAACTAGAACTGAACTAGAACTGAACTAGAACTGAACTAGAACTGAACTAGAACTGAACTAGAACTGAACTAGAACTGAACTAGAACTGAACTAGAACTGAACTAGAACTGACTAGAACTGAACTAGAACTGAACTAGAACTGAACTAGAACTGAACTAGAACTGAACTAGAACTGAACTAGAACTGAACTAGAACTGAACTAGAACTGAACTAGAACTGAACTAGAACTGAACTAGAACTGAACTAGAACTGAACTAGAACTGAACTAGAACTGAACTAGAACTGAACTAGAACTGAACTAGAACTGAACTAGAACTGAACTAGAACTGAACTAGAACTGAACTAGAACTGAACTAGAACTGAACTAGAACTGAACTAGAACTGAACTAGAACTGAACTAGAACTGAACTAGAACTGAACTAGAACTGACTAGAACTGAACTGAACTAGAACTGAACTAGAACTGAACTAGAACTGAACTAGAACTGAACTAGAACTGAACTTAGAACTGAACTAGAACTGACTAGAACTGAACTAGAACTGAACTAGAACTGAACTAGAACTGAACTAGAACTGAACTAGAACTGAACTAGAACTGAACTAGAACTGAACTAGAACTAGAACTGAACTAGAACTGAACTAGAACTGAACTAGAACTGAACTAGAACTGAACTAGAACTGAACTAGAACTGAACTAGAA